GCTTTATTGCGTTTCAACTTGCCTAGAGATCGTGCGTCAGTGAAGGAACGAATTAGAGTTAAGTAAGGTGCTAAAACGCTCCAGCGCAATCTTATAACCCGTCTCTGCTGATGCAAGAAAGCCGGATCCAAAAGTGGACGGAGACCCAATTCCTTGTTTCATAACTTCTGATGCTTTAAATTCTCAAAAATTAGTGGAAAGAAGGTGGTTTCTCTGGTATTGGCGCTTGTTTCGAATGCTACTCTCCATTTATCCTTCTGTGACCGAAGGAGGTAAACAAGCTGTCTTATACTACCGCAGAGATTTCTAAAAATTATCAAATGTCCGATGGAACATTAGTTTATAGGTGATACTTTTCAATGCAAGATTTAAAGTGCTGAATTCATTTAAAACTAAATCCAGCGGCACTTGGCAATTGGTTTGACGGTTTAAGTACCTAACAATGGTATCCTTGTGGAGCGCTCAGAGTAGAAGACTGCTGCTTCGAAACTTTAAAAGTCATCAATTTTTTCACCCATTCGACTGCCCTCTCACAAGTTAGAAAACAGACAAAATGGAGGAAATAGTGGCAGGATTGTCTGTACTTGACACCCTCTCTGATGGCTCTATCTCTGCGACGCATGCGTTCTCCAGCCTGTACAATAGCTGTGCGGTTGATGTCCAAACTCCAGATAGAGAGTATCATCCAGACGAAGATAAGTAGGGCCGCCCAAATGGAGAGGAGGAGGAAGCCCAGGCACATGTCTCCGGCTCCAGGGAACTTAATGGAAGATTCCTCAATTTTGAGACGGTAAGAGACGAAGGCCGTAGATTGCCACTGATCAGTCAGACGGAGATCGCGTCTGTAGCAGCTATAAACGCCCTCATCTGTGCGTCTCACCTGTTCAAATCGTAGGCTGCAATCGGACGTCACGAAGATACGCTCGTTGAGAAATGTACGTGGCATGTATGTCACTCCTTAGGTATGATGCATAGAATGTAATGGGAGCACGTCCACGAGCAGACTACATCATCAATGTTTCGTTGATATAATCGGTAAGTCTATTATTATCTTCAATGTACTTGCTGTCGATAGATATTCTATTGTGTCGGAATAAAAATAAGTTCTAATCTACTTCTTGAATTTAGCAATGGGTGGGCCATTTTTAACAAGGTAATATTGCCTTGGAGCCAAATTTCCCCAGTTGGCATGAAATTGCTCACCTCTAGGCTGTTTCCAGAGGATGGTGAGGTTTTTGTGGTCTGAACAATTGTAGTTAATGGTATCGCCCTCCGTACCACAGAGCATGTCAAAGTTTATTGAACCCTCGATGGCTACCTTTTGAAGTTTCATGAACCTCTTCTCCTCATAGCCTAATACCTCTCTCTTCATATATTGGGTATCTTTTGTAGCCAAGACCAAATTTACAATTTCCATGTAGTCAATTTCAGGGCAGGATACCTCAAAGGAGACATTCATATACAAATTCTTTGTTCCAAATGGTCTTGGGAGCTCATTGGTGAGATTCACGTGTTTAAGATAAGTCAAGTGACAAGGAATGTAATAATGTTTATTTTCTTCCTTCATCATGCTTGAGAAATCTTCTTCGATAATCATCGTCATCTCTTCTCGCCTTTCCTCTGCATTCCTTACAACTTCTTTTTTGCCTTCGTAGAATAACTCAAATCCCAGCTCTGAGGCTCTTGTTTCCGCGGCTTCGCGTTGTTTTTTACGGGTGACTGGATCCTCCTCATCCATCCATGTGTAGAAGGATGAGAAGGTGGATCTCAGCAATTTGTACGTTAGTAGCATTTCCGCCGACGCGGAGTGTCGAGCATCCGATGTAATAACACGTGGAATAGTTATGTAGCATCGGCGGAAGCGTTTAAGATTGAACGTGCCGCAGGTTTGTGCTGGTTTCGCCGTGGGTATCAACCGTGATGTGATGGACATAAGAGGAGTGGAAAAGTCTTGAAAATCCTTAGCAGCCTTTAACGCCACTCCAGCGTTCTCCATGATACTATTCACATCCTTTAAATGAGGCAACTTATGCACACCCTGTAGACTTACTGGAATCGACTGAATTTCCTTGCTCAAACCCTCTGTGTCAGGTGGAAGTATCACATCGAGGTGGTACCAAATCGAATTGGCTAGATGGTGGCTGTCTTCCACATTGCGACAATAATAGGTTCCCACATGAACATCATGATTAAAGCTGGGGATAAATAGTTCGTTAGTGCCGTTAATAAGGCATGGAATGGCTTTACCAGAAAAACGATCTTGGCTTAGAGGCGTTCCACCGGGTTTAATTAATGACACACGTCCATTAATACTTGTGAATGTGGCCGATGTGCTACGAGGTAAGAAGTACCACACGAAGGAACTAGTCGATTCGCCTGGACAAAGGGGACACTTGAGACTGACTTTCTGATTGTAGTCGGGTCGTTGTAACATTAAGTGGTGCTGTAAAGCTGCTTCTTCTTGTCTTTGAGTGGTGCAACTTGCAAGGCCTGATGAGCTGGTCGCATAACTCGATGACCCTGCTGCCATTGTTATTTTAACTTTGCACAACTGCAGAGGCTGTGTTGCTCCTCCAATGCTTACAATCAGTAGGAGGAAGTATGTGACAATGCTTGAGCGCATTTTAGTCGCTGTGGTGCAGTGCCTGGGCTATTTGCGGTCCGATCGATGGCTCCAAACAAATGGAAATCAGCTGAGGGATGCGTCGCAAGGTAGACGAACGCTGACCCATTCATCTGCATTGTAAGTGGACAGTCATTGTGATTACAAGACAATATGAAAAGCGCAAGTCAGTTGGATGCTGAAAGCTATTTGATTTAGGGAGCTTTACAGTTTGCAATCCTTTCCAGGAATAATGGAAGCCTGATTAATTAACTTTGTAAAACTTTTTGTCCTTAGAAGTTGGAAAAGTTTACATTGGGTTCATATCTACATGAAAGCGGTGTGGACATTTCTAATTCCGTTGATACTTCTCCATTCACTCCTTTCTGAGGCATGGTAAATTGACCGGTCGGTAATATCGGTGACATCCGTCGGTCTGCCATTGCACGACTGCTCAAACACAGTGCCCACTGATAGCAAAAGCTTGCGTCAAAATGCTTACATCCCGAGGCGTCCTATACAGAGAGGCCTTAACTATCTGTCTCACAATGCGTTAATTATTTTGGGGTTGAACAGTAATGCATGCTCTGCCTGACAAACATTCAAACGGAGAGACAATTCCTCGTCATCTTATTTCCTGAATCCTGCTATCTGGCAATTGTAAATGGGTAATGTAGTAAATCCATTTAATTAGTCTTCTGTGGGACCTTTCCGACCGCTTTACTGGATGCACAAATTACTTATTTGCCCGTTTTAGAAACGCCTGAACATCTCTGTCCCAACCTCTGGTAATTTCCTCAATCCACAAGGAGAGGCAGCTGATGCTCGCCCTACGAGGTAGAGAGCGTTCCACAATGGGACACTCACTTTTGGCTGATCAGTTGTCAGCATCAAGTAATTCAAGTCAACTTCGGGCATTGGCATATGCTACCTCATACTTTATATTCTCTGACAATTTAGCTGCCTCGGAGTCACGTAACCCTCGATTTATTAAGCAGGCAAACTCACTGCACCTTTGAGTTTAATTAGTTTTTGAGACAAATTTAACTTTCTTAAAAATGAAAATCAGAAAGCGCAAATTAAGGACTGGTATTCT